AATAATGTTTTTTTAACTTTAAACCGCATGAACACATTTCATTACACCAAATACACAAAATAATGTTCTTTTTAGCAGCATCATATGACTCCTTTAAGGTATTCAGAAACTTGGCACACTTAGAAAACATGGCTTAATTCTGTGTCCTGAAAAAAAAATCCCAAAACATTGTTTTACCAATTACTCTCAATAAAAAGTATAATATGACTTCTTGAATACTTTATTTTTGTTTTCTTATATAAAATGTATTCATTTTAAATTTGACTCTCTAGGGTCGCTGTATGAAATTTACCCGTGTGAGATCCTGCCCGCCCCCTCGATACCCGCTTTACAACAACCCCTCGAGCCACATCTACAGCACAAGCTTCCTACCACCCTCGTCACCCAGCACCTTGCCTCCGCCCCCTCAGGCGGCTCCGCCCGGACGAGCCCCGCCCCCTTCTCGTCCACCACCACACCCAGGCCCTGAGGAACCGCAGTGCTACCAGGACTGAGTAGGTCCAAGAGATTTGTACACAAAAAAAAAAACTGCTGGTTATGCCAGTGCAAAAATTCAGTGCTGCATTTTCCAGGCATTAGAAAGGAGCAACATGATTATTACAAATGACAATGGCTGAAGATGGGATTTAACGTGGCAGCGACTGTATTATTACACAATTGATGGGTAATAATAATGAGAGGTTTGTTGACTTTCAATATAACCTTGACATGTTCTTTGTGAAATGTGGTTTTAAATTAACAGAACATCAAAGAGAGTCAGAGCAAAAGAACCAGAAAGAGATAAAAATGATAAACATTTACATTTTTGAATTATTTAAACTTAAATTTTACATTTATGTATTTGACTTGCATATGAAATTTCCATTCATTTGGATTGCCCAGTTCACATGAACATATAAATAAACTTAATGTGAGGCATATTTGTCAGTCATGCAAAAACAGGTAGTATTTCTGTAATAGTACTAATAAACTGAATGTGTTTACACAATAACAAGGTTTATATATTTAAATGTATTAATTACTTGAATATTGTTTGTTCCACAGCTAGCCATATTTAAATTTTTTTGTTTTAAATGAATAAATTGAATTGTTTCTGAAATTAAAAGATTTGTGCTGATTGTGCTGAAACTGAATAAATGCATTTTGAATTATTTGTGATTGTTTAAAATCACATCAAAAAGATGCAAAAATAATAATTGATGCCATAATTAAAAAAAAGTGAATATTACCGGTTTCATTTATGTATGACTGGCAAATATGCTTCGCATTAAGTTTATTATTTTGTATTATGTTTAGACTGTGTAATGCAATTACATAATGCTATTTTATATACATTTCAAATAAATAGTTTATTTTTTCAGTGTGGAAATTGACGATGGACCGTTAAATAATTGAAGACTAATGCGTTTTAATATTCGACACTTCAGCTGTCTGTTGACAGTTATTCTATGCTAAAAAGTAGCCACATTTTAATGCCTACTGGCTCCAGTGTTAGTACAAAATTACTGTAAATTATTGACATTGTATCATTATTAGCATCTTAACCTAGCTTTGCAGATACATTAGAAAAGGTTGAACGAGAAGCATCTGTATTATAGGTCCTGTTGTACTTGAGATCAGGTTCAGCTTTAATGCCTTTTGAATATATCAGGAAAACAGGATAAAACGGCAGGATTCAAGTGACTGCATGAATGGAAGGAAACAATGACAAAACTAATCAAAGAGTTAATTCAGTCTGTAGTCCTAAAACCCAGAAGGGAATTAGCATGTCCATAAATTCCCCAGGGAATTTCCAGTGGGAATTCAGAAAAGCGGTTTTGGATTTGAGTAAAATAAGATTTGTGTTCATATTTGAAGAGACTTTCACATTGTACAAAATAAATGACACATAGTTCACCTGGTGTCTTGCTTTAAAAACACAAGTTGATACATATCAACTACCAAGTTGATTATTCCAAAGAAAATTGTGTGACTGACCTGAAAAATGAACGCGGTTGATGTTTCAGTGTTACGATCTAGTTGAATGTTTGTGGAATGATGCAGGCTTTTGTTTTGTACATATGGATGCTTTCCAAACAGCTGTGCTAAGAGTAGATCAGTATTCGTGGGTAAAAATTCATGAGGTGCTTTATGTTTTTAATTTAAAATGTCTTTTGTTGTGTTGTTTGCAAGTGATGCATTTAAAGGGATAGTTCGTTCAAAAATGAAAACATGTCACTCCAAACCCAACTGACTCTGTTTCTTCTGTAGAACACCAAATGTTTTGAAGACATTTCATATATTTTCCAGTGTATTCTGTTAGAGAAAATCATTCAGGTTTGAAATGGCATGATATTGAGTAAATTACCACAGAATTTGTAATAATTCTATAAACTATTCATTTAAGCATATGGCAGTTCTGTGATTTTTAGTTTGATCTATTCTGTTTCTTCATTTTACCTTGAACATTGTTTTTTTGTTTGTTTTTTTTCATGCTGGGTTGAAAGCTTGTGCTTGAGCTGTTACAGATGTTCTGAGCGTGTCAGGCTATTCCTTTTTAACGAAGAGCATGTTTTTACACGCTTCAATTCAATGTTGGAATTCATATTTCTGCGTCAGCATTTTTTATGTGGGCTAACAGCACAATAGCATGCTTTCAATGGATTTTGGTGAGTACCACAATTATGATAAAGGAAATAGTGAAGTGTGGTCAAGTATGGTGTCCCATACTCGGAATTTGTGCTCTGCATTTAACCCTTCCAAGCATTTAACCCATGCGGCGGCGAGGGAGCAGTTGGGGGTTCGGTGCCTTGCTCAAGGGTCTCATCTCAGTCGTGGTATTAAAGGTGGAAGAGAGCGCTGGTTATTCACTCCCCCCACCTACAATCCCTGCCGGTACCGAGACTCGAACCCGCGACCTGTGTTACAAGTCCGACTCTAACCATTGGGCCACGACTCTTAGGGGGCCCCTGTGCTGCAAGCACACACATTCAGAACATAAAGCCATCATTAAAATAAAATGAACCCTATTAACTTCATACATGTTCAAAATACTTTCTTCCTCGGCTAATGTGACTAATATGCCGTCGACACTGGTGTACAGGACACCCCTGCTTGAGACCCTCTATTGTCAAAAAAAGTAAGGTGTCATTCGACTGCTAATCTAACTTCTTTTCCATGAAGAATAAAAAAACTAAGCTCTTTGTTCTCTTTTTCTGGCTTTTGGTACCTTTACGGCATAATGAAATTCTAACTGTTTTTATTGAACATTTTATAGCACACCTCTGCTATGAAATACCACTGCCGTTAGCTGATGCAGACAAAGAAAGACATTTTCAAGTCTTTTTTTAATGCTTGATCTCATGTCTTTAAGTATTCAACTGATAAAAGAATAAATAATTATGAAAAGTTAGTATTTTAAGAGTAACGTTTTTTTTATATATATATAGCCTGTATAGGAGATTTTATGTGTTTTACTGTGAAGACATGATTTTTGTATCTATTGTAACCAACTTTTGATTATAGTTAATAAATAGCCAAATTAGCATTACCATTGAAATACGCCACTGTTCAAAAGAGTTTGGTAAGATTTTATTTTATTTTATTTTTTATGATCAAATCCCTTGTGCTGCATTTACTTGATCAAAAATACATATTAATGTTGTGAGGTAATGTTACAATTTAGAAGAACTGTAATTTATTTAAAAATGTAATATATTCCTGTGATGACAAAGCTGAATTTTCATCAGCATTACCCCAATCTTCAGTGTCACATGATCCTTCAGAAATCATTATATTTGCTGCTCAAGAAACATTTCTGATTATTATCCATGCTGAAAACAGTTGTGCTGCTTAATATTTATGTGGAAAACTGGATAAATTAATCAATTGATTGTATGAAGACTTTAATGTATCCTTTTTTGTATATCTTGAATTTTTATTTTTTTTATATATATATATATTTTGTATATCCACTTTTTTTAAATTGTTGATTGATGAAGACTTTAATTTATCCAGTTTTTCGTACATTGTGAAATTCCTCTATCTCCTCATAACCTCACAATCAGAGGCCCTGGGGCTTTAACTCTCAGGGGGCCCCTGTGCTGAACATAAACCCATCATTAAATTAAAAAGAACCCTGACTTTATACATGTTCCAGGTCAACAGGGTTCAAACTACTCTGTTCTTCGGCTGATGTCACTTAAAGGTAATGAATAGCGAAATAGCTATTTAGTTATTGTTCTAGACAGCTTCTGCAATTTTCTGCTAGTTAATGTCATAAAGGTTATGGCAATAATTGCAGAAAATTATAGGGTTGGAAAAGCACCGTGTACACTACTGTTCAAAAGTTTGGGTTTGTTAAGATTTTAATTTTTTTTTACCTTTTCTTATTCTTATACTCAAAGTTGCATTAATTTGATAAACAATACAGTAAAAACAGTAATACAGTGAAATATTATTACAATTTAAAATAACTTTTCCGTTTTCATGCATTTTAAAAGGTAATGTAATCCTGTGATGGCAAAGCTGAATTTTCAGCAGCTAGTTACAGGCACATATGTTTACATAGACTTTTTATCTTATAAGCAAGTAAATGCTGCACATACACCCATACTGTACATAATGCAATAATGCCTTGCATTCTATGATAAAGCTGACAAGAGAAAACGAGCATGGCTTGCAGCGCAAGCTGCAAAATACTGTGTGTGAAAATAATAAAATAATGTGTGTTCTTATCATTCTGTGGACAAAATCCCCTGAACTTCACATCGACTGGGAGCTTTATGTAGGATAATAGCGTGCGTCTGTTTACAATGCAGCTAAACACAGGCCTCTTCATGTCATCTACCCACTCATTAAACTTTGAGTTAATATTAAGTGACCAACACAGTATTGCCAGTGAAAATAGGAACAATTACAAAAGTATAATAGCATAGACAATACATTATAAATGTGGAATTCACTTCTCATTCTTAATATTTTAAATACATTCATTCTTTCCAGCATCACAGCGGCCCGGGCTTCAGGCTGTTCAATAATGCAGCCCTTAACGTGGCAGTGGTTTCTGGCTCTATTAATACCTATTGTCCCCGTCACAAAGGCTTTGTGGCCACGTTTGTTGATTTGTTTTATGTAACACAATCCTCTCAGTGGCAGACAGACCCACAGTCCTGTGGCTGATGACATCAGCTCTCCGCTCTCAAGAGCCAAGTGTAGTAAATGCCTAAGAGAGGGATAAAAGATTCAATCGCACTGAAGTGTGGCAGACTGACCTGTCAGAATGACTTCACGGTTGGTCCGGTTGTAACCGCTGTAATTGATTCCTGGTCACATTCACCCTCCTGAAAAGGCGGTAAACATTGAAAGGTTTGTAATACATCTCAAATCAGCCATAACATCAGAATAAAGGGATTCTCAAGGAGCTGCTTCCAGCTTCCCCACTGATTTACACTGATGATGTTTGCATTCAAGAACATTTTAGCAACAGCTTAGCAACCACATAGTAACACACAACTGCACTTAACAGCTTTGCAATTATACAAGCAGCAGAGTAAAGAAACAAAAAAAAAAAAACCGAAACAAGATAGAACTAAAACATAGTAAAGATGCTAAAAACACTTAGGACACCTGAGAAACCACATATAAACTCTAAAAAAGAAACTCAAAGCATCTTAACACTTCAACAACATACTAAAAATCACTCCGAATACCTTAGCAACTGCATAGCAGCATGTTAAATCCACATAATAGTAAGACGAAAACTACTCTGAACACCTTAGCAACATGCTAAAACTACTTTGAACAACTGCACAGCAACATGCTAAAATACTCAGAACACCTTACCAACCACATTGTAACACCAAAAATATTCTTAACACCTTAGCAACAAATTAAAACTATTCATACCACTTAAACATGGCAAACATGCTAAAAACACTCAGAAAACCACATAGAAACACACTAAAAACCACCAATGTCAACATAGCACACATGCTAAAATTAGAACACTAAAGCAACATGCTAAAAATCAATTACAACACCTTAGCAAACACACAGAAACGAGTTAAACACTATTTATGACACTAGCATAACAAACATAGGCCCTACTAAAAACACTCAGAAAACCTTAGAAACCACATAGCAACACTATAAACACTAAAAACATTGTAACATACCAAACATGCTAAAAAAAAATCAGTCAGAACACCTCAGCACATATAGAAACAAGCTAAATGGCACTAACATAACAAACGTGCTAAAAAACACTCAGAACACCTTAGACACCGCATAGCAACACAACTCTAAAATACATATGTAGCAGCATGTGTGTGTGTGTGTGTGTGTGTATATATATATATATACACACACACACACACACACACACACACACAATGTATACAAACACACACAAATAAAATATTAAAAACTTTTTTGTGAACTGAAATAAAGCTGAAATAAAACTAAAGATTATTAGATGAAAAACTTAATTTAAAAAATGCCTTGGCAAATAAATAAAAAAATTACTAAAACAAATAACAAAATTGAAATAAAATAGAAATACTGCATTAAAAAGAACACAAACATAAAAATGACAAAGCACATCAATTTCTAAAACTTAAACTAAAAATATAACGAAACCTGGAAATATAAAAATAAAAGTCCATTCAAAATATGAATAAATATTAAAATAGTATACAAATAATACTAAAATAACAACAGCAACCTTAACATCTTTTGAAAATGTTAAAATATAGGTTTTATTTGTAGCTTGTAAACCATTTTTTATTGTACTGATTATTATTACTGTAGAGAGAGTATAAATGATGATCAGCTTTTGTTTATTGCAGGACCACCACTATAACAAATTGCCATGACCTTTTACTTTTTGTCATTAGACCATGATAGATAGAAGCAGGAGACAAAGCACTGGTTTTGAAACGCGAATACAAAGGGTGGAAATTCCATTCTGTGCTTGTGTTGCTCCAAATGTGCAGGCATATACACAGGGACAATTGGCCACAAAATTAACGGAGAAACTATTAAAAGTGTCACGTGTCACATAATAGATGAAAAATAAAGAGATTTTCCTTTTTGAACTGTGAGTGTACATAAAATCAAATGTCTATATGCAACCTTAGGTCAAGGCAAGTCAAAGTTTTTCATTACAAATGAAAGTGTGTATTCACAGAGGGCTGAAAACTGCATGCAGTTTGAAGAACCTCGATGCACTTTTGGAGACTTAAGACGCTCCTCTTTTCTGAATTTATAAAAGGGAGTCAAATAAAGGGATTATTGTCTTGTATCCTTGTCTTACCTGCACCGTGTGGTATTTGTAGAAGCACTATGGACAAAAATATACTGGAGGAGACTGATGGATTTACATAAATCAGAGAATACACTGCTGTTCTGCTTCAAATGCAGAGAGTGCGTGTTTAAAGGCTTCTAGCATCAAAAGCAACTTAGGCTTTTTGATGTTTCTGTTTTCTCTGGTGTTTCCAAGAACAGAATAAAGTGATCAATTTAAGGTGAGCTTTTACTGTAGCATTTTTACAGTCTTTTACCGTTAAATTCACGGTCATTTTTTACAGTGTAGATATATGAAATCAATCTGTAGGCGGCTCACGCTGCCATTCTGTTTCAGAATCCCTTTCACACAACTTCAAGAACTTAAGAAGTTCTTGAGCTCTTAAACAGCAGTGGAATCTGCCAGCAGACTTTAGCTGGAGCTGGTTAACAGCAGCATATTGGCTGTTATTTCAATACCTCAGGGCTACTTCATGGCTTAGTGTTGTTTCAAGCCAATACTCCATATGTCCTGTGATTCATTAATGACAGATCAAATGAGCATTCATCATAGCTTTCATGTCAAGTACGTTTAATAAAAAGAGCTGCTGGTACTTAATCCTCAGGTGAACCTTAGTTCTTAAGGTCTATTAACATTGTGTGGAGACTTACTTTAAGCTTTTAAATAATTTTTTTTTTCTTCGTTCAGCGAAGGATGAACAAAATAATTTTTTTTTTATTTACGTGGCTCTCTCGATGTTGTTGATCACCCAAGCTACAAACTAGCAAAATGAAGTATTAATAAAAAAAAACTATTCTGGTGAAATTAGAATATTAACATTATACATAACATAAAACTACATAAACTAAATATATAAAAAATAATCTATATAATATTTTTTTTAAATCATATAATACAAAAAATCTAATAAAATATAGCTGCAAGCAGTTATTCCCCGGGTTCAAGTAATTTAAGACCTTTATTTTATGGAGATAGAACACATCCATGATGGAAAACATGCTACATACATATACACAAGAATGAAAGGGTTAAACTATAATACTTAATACCCACTTAGCATGCTTACACACATGCAAACACACATATATAGATATTTGAAATAAATGATAGGTAACAAAATGCTTACTGCAAAGTCTCTGTTATAACATTTTCAGGTTTCACTCCAATCAAAACTATGAAAAATTTTAATTATTGTAATTGTAATTATTATTGGCATAATTGTAAAATCTGGTGTCACAGAACAAATGAAGTGGCAAACTTTGACAAAATGTGATATGAATATTGTATGTGTGAAAAATTGCTCAATATACAATCGTTTACACAATTGAAAAATGCGACTTCGCCCCCGGCTGATTTCTTTCAAATTTCTCACAGACCATGAGGGCCGTGAGTCAAACAGGCCCACTGAGTTTCGTTCCGATCGGCCTCCGTTCTCAAACTTCTTTGCCCGATCACATTCATGTCTTTTCAAGATACACGAATGTCCTCATAGACAGCTGTGGCACTTTGGACACAGACAAGTCAATTTTCAAGTCAATCAGACACATGGTTGTGTAGTTATAGCCTTTTTTAAGTTTTTGTCCTATTATAGTGCCACACAGTGCCCTAACGCCACGATTTTTCTCATGTGACCTCAGATTGAGGTCTTGTATATGCATATCAAGTTTGGTGTAAATATCTCACTCTGCTCAAAAGTTATAGCCGTTTTAGGAAAAGTGGCCCCGACTCTTTTGAACATTTTGGCGTGCCTTTGGGGAGTCAAAAACTCAACTTTTCTTTGATAATTATTGATATTCACTCTCAAGAGAATCTTTCCGTACTTCTTTGGGTCTGATCGGGCAAAAACCTAGGACTAATTCAAAGAAGTAGGTTTTTCACAAAATCTAAAATGCCCGAAAATGTTGCCATGCGACAAACGAATCCGACACATGCGTTTTGTTTGTCTTGAGCCAAGGATTCATATGATATAAGACTATAGAAGGTTTAGGAGTTATGAGCGACTGCATACTTTCGGGGCAAGCTTTGGTGACTTTGCAGACAGGGTGGGTACTACCATGCATCAAAGTTTCAAGTCTCTACGCCTTACGGTTTGGTCTGCCCGATCTTTTATGTCAGAATGGTGATCTTTGAAAATCTTAAAAATTACAATAGGGTTTCAGCGCTACACACTTGAACCCCTATTAATAATATATATTCAGCCTGTAAGTCCTGCAGGTGTTCAAAAAGGGATGATTAAATTATGAAGGAACAGAAGACGAGACATTTTAACAGAAATGATTTATCATAGAAGTAATACACAGTGAATATACAGCAGATAAATAGCAAAACTACAATATCCACAATTACAGATCGTAAAAGTGCTTCAATGAGTTCACTGCATTAGATGGTGTGGATGTGACCGTCAGTTACTTACAGTCCATTCCAGGACGCCTACAGTACCTTGGGTTTAACAAGAACAGCAAAGAAACGTGATTCTCCAGCTATTTTTACCTGTCATAAGGCCTCAACAATTCTGTCACCAGGTTCTGGAAATTCTTCCAGCTTTGAGACTCAGAAAGGTAGTTAGTACTTCAAAAAGCCTAAAAACCTTTGAATAGTTCCATCAGCTGCTCCCTGTAAACTAGTAAACCGAGCGCAACAAACTTCCTTCATTTTCACATTTTACTTTTTTAATACTATGTATGATATAAAAAAAGCTTATAATGTATAAACCATTGCAAAAAGAAATTGGATGAATATACGTAGATTATAGACCATTATATCAAACAAAAGATGAAATCGCTCTCTTCATGCCTGGTGGAGCGATGCACAGAGGAAGAACATCGTAGTGAAGGTGAGCTAAAGTGCTGCGGTGCCGCCAGATGGCGTCAAGAGGACTGAGGTAGTCGTTTCATGATAGACTACGCTAGATTTGCTTCCACCACAGATATAACCAGCACTGGGACGGCACAACATTCTCAAACATTAAGGCTTTCCCAATGGGCCCCGTGGTTGGAAGGGGGCTGCCTGGAAGGGGTCTATCACTGCTCGAACACCTACCGTCCAGGAGTGAAGTGGCCCAACGGGGACTGAGCTCACGGCCGCCTGCTGGCCCACACTGGAGACCACGCGGTGGGCGGCAATGGGTTGCTGGGGCATCGGAGCCTCGACGCAATGAGGAAACCGGATTTGACTGTGCACGGGTGTATGGGGCAGAATGGGCTCATTGCCATTCGTGCACCTCGTTAGATGTTGCGGTCCAGACAGATCATTCCTTCTGTAGAATGGGGCCTGGAGGAAGACGTCAGGCTGTGGATGGGCTCCTTGAAGTTGAGGAAATGGAGCACCGGTGAAGATGTCCCTACCGTCTTGTCCACATCCAGGGAATGGGGCATTTGAGAAGACGTCTGGGGAGGACGATGGCGTGAGTTTGAGAGCTGTAGTGTTGAGGAGTTTGGAGTCCAGCAGTAGAAGCTTTGAGCCACAGCACGCATGCAGAACCCCATCTTCTTCTGCAGGAACATCTGAGCTCTGGATGTTACTGGCTCCTGATGAAGAATCATAGCAGTTGACGTTAGGCAGATCATCTGCAAAAGAGAATAAGTTAAAACTAATTAAAGACTCCCTGAGGTCGTCAAGTTTTTTTAACGTTGTCTACTTGTCTATCTGATGCTTAAAAGACAAACCATGTGCAAATTTATCAGTCAACACCACTGCTGAGCATTTTCTCCTTAAAACTGCGGTGTACCAAAGACAGTTTCAAAAATTCAGTTTGAAAGCCTGTTCCCTACTGTAACATACATGTAACCAATCCCCTCAATTTGCACAGTGGGACTTTTCATATCATTAGCAGTCTGAGATGGCAAACGGGAACATGGTTTGGGTGACATTAACAACACATTATTAGCTGTTTGATAAAGTAGTCAAGCCAAACGGCAATAATATCAATTACCATTATAGGTCTATAGGACACTGTAGGGAGTGCTGAATAAAATGCATTACCATTCTGATGCACGGACTTGTAGACGAGCCTTTATAATTCGTTCATGAGGACATGAAGACATTATTTTCGTGTTGAAATATGTCATTGAAGTTTAAGGGATAAAGTTAGTGACTGCAGGGGGACTTTTTAAAAACAAAACAAAATAAAGGGGAGAGCGCTTACGCTATTAGAAAAATAAATAAATAAATAGCTACAGTACAGGCATCCTGGAAAGGCACTGGTTGGTGAAATGCTTTGTTTTGAAAGAGAATGACAGTTGGTTTATGACAAAGATGAATAAAAATAATAAAAACGACTACTATTTAAAAGGTTTTTAGGAACATTTAATCTTGCAGATAGAATCTAAATTTATAGTAATTAAGTATATCTCATTAAAAATAGTGAAGTCGGCGCCAATAGCCTAGTGGGCAGTGCGCCGACATATAGTGCCGTTGCGCTCCGGGCGTCCCGAGTTCGAGTCCCGGCTCGTGGACCTTTCCCGATTCCGCCCCCCTCTCTCTCTCCTACTTCGCTTCCTGACACTGCTATACTGTCCTATCAAAATAAAATAAAAAATGCCAAAAACAGTGAAATAACGTTGAATCTACCAAATTACTAAAATGTTTTTATCTTTGTAATATACTGACAATCACCTTAAAAAAAAAAAACAGGTGGTAATGAGAAAGCCTCATGATGAAACAAAGTTCATCACAAGTAGCTTTTCCACAAGCACAAAGGAGGTGCACAACATCATGCACAAAAATACAAAACACCATGGTAACACACAATACTAAAATAATACAATAAACATTAATTTACCAACATAAGATGTAACATAACCTAACATAACCCTAATGTGCATAAACAATAAGAAAAAAGCTAAGAACAATTGGTTCAATGAAAAAACATCAAATGTCAATTTACGTTTTTTTCACTAAATTATAAGAGGACTTGTTCTTTACTACAATTTACACCATATAGAATAAGAGAGCTGTTAACCAATCAACAGGTTTTTAATATAGCATTAGTCATTTAATGTTAAAAATTAAATTTTTTTTTTTTTTTTTACAAAAACCTCCATCACCAGTCCAACCAGACCGTTCAAAGAAACATCTATAGACGTCCAAACAATGTGAACATTAACATGACCGCCCACGTTTATCATCTATTCAGGATGTTACACATTTCACATGAAAAGAGGTTAGCCAACGACAAAAGTGGTCATTTGCATATAGAAGCAGCAGAAACGGCTTGTACAATCTTCAAAAGTGTAGATAACCGCACCTTTGAAGGAGGCTATTTTTGTGTTATACAATGCCAGCGGAAAACGCATGGCATGAAGCACAATACCAAATTAGGCTGCTTTTGCTCCGAAGCTCTAATTTATTCATGAACTCCCTGCTTTAAGAGCTCCTTTAAAGTCAATGTGATTTTAATGGAATGAAACATAATAAAGTCTCCTAAACGGCAAATTCCTACAGGCATCCTGGCAAATTTGGCTGCACTGGCTTGTGAAACAATTAGTTTGAAAGAGAATGGCGGTTGGTTTATGACTTAGATTAATGAAAATAATAAGAACAACAAACATAAGATTAATACTTGAAAGGTTTGAGGGCTGATTCAGGTCTGGATGCTGTAGAACTAAGTTATAAAACCAGAAAAGTACCTAGACGTCCTTTAAAGAAATGTTGTTGGATGTGCCCTAAAACAGGGCGAAAGGCCGATGCTTTTGTCTTGTTTTGTGATTCTGCAGACGTCAAAAATGATTAACTTGAGCCACCTGGCCTTCTGTGTCTGCCAGGAGTCCATTTCTTTCATCTAAATGCTATTTTGCAATATCCTTGGCCTATTTATCAAATGGGCACCGTATCATCATTTCAAATCAGTAAACACACATTTAGGTCTCAGGTGGAGATCAATATGATTTACTTTTTCCACCTCGGTCTTATAGTGCCAAGTTGCAGAGTTTTTTTTTTTTTAGTGAACTTCCAGTCGGTGTTCAGAATGAAAGTTCAAATGACAAAGGAGGAAGAGAGAGATGAGACAGACAACGGCTACAACATGGACGAGGAAATCTTACCTGGAGAAGACAAGGCTGTGTCAGCCAGACCTCCAGCAAAATGTTGTACCATGATAACGAAGAAAAACCCAAACACCTTCAGTATATGATTAGATATTTATGACTGTAGTAAGAAAGTAAGAAATAGAGGCTTGAGTATCACCAATATTATGCGCGCAAAGTTGTTGATAAAAATGTCTGGCCTTTCTAAAAATGTTACTAAAAAATAAAACTTTAAATTTTGGTAAAAGAAATAAATAATAATAATTGTACAAGAATTTTTCAATTAATCAAGTGCATTTGTTTGACACTCTTCTTAATAAATATTGGTACAAAATAATTTAAAATTTTAATTAATTAATTTTTTTCTTTTTCCATTTTTCTTTGTTTACCAACAGTCAGATGCATTTCATTCCCAAAGACTAAAAAAAAAGGTTTATAATTTCGGATTATATTATAATTAAAATTCATTAATTTACATGATTTGCTTGACTGCTGAGAGTGCAAAATGTTTCCACGGATAAATAATTAACACTGGCACAATTTACATTCACATTTACATGTTTATTTAATACCCCTTTCTTTGCTTATTGGTTTTCACAAAAATAGAAGGTGCACATGAACCCATCACTGTTCTAACACTGGGCTGAGGGTGTTTGCTACAGAGACCAATTGGGTTCCAACTCTGAGGATAAACATGGTCATAAATATTGTTTTTCTCTGAACAAAATCAGCACATAAAAGGAATCTTTGATTTTTGCACAACAACACAAGTCAAACACTACCCGCGGGGCAAAGACCTCTACTGAGAACTACAAGATGGAGCTTTAGGATTGCATAGGTTAACATGAGAGTCTGCGAATGGCTGTACAGAGGAGAGGCGAGGATATAGAGAACGATCTCATAATCGACACTGCCAACAACAAATATCAGTAATGGAGCCCCAGCAGCATCTCTTTTCCTCCGCAAGAGGATCGCTGAAGTCCAGTGCTATTCTGCGGTTTTTCATCAATGCCTTCAAGCAAACAAAACGCCTCATAAAACATTTAAAACTTTCATGGAAACGATTTTTTTTTTTCCATTACAGAACTTTAGGGTGGGCGGTATAACTAAAAACCTCTATATCACGTTAATGTATATGTCACAGTTTATTTATTAGTTGGAAATCCAAAAAATATGTATGTGTGCGTGTGTGTGTGTGCACGCGAACACACAGTTTTATTCAGCAAAGATGCATTAAATCATGTTAAAAGAATATTACTTCAAATATATGCTGTTCTTCTGAACTTTCCATCAGCACAACCATTTTCAATGTTGATGATGATGATGATACTAATAATAATAGTTTGATGAGAAGCAAATCAGCATATTAGAATGATTTCTCAATGATCATGCGACACTGTGATCGAATGATGCTGAAAATTCAGCTTTAACATCACAGGAATGAATTACATTTGAAAATATATTTAAAAAGAGAATAGTTACTATAAATTGCAAAAATATTTCAACGATTTTACTAATTACTAATTTTACTGTATTTTTGATCAAATAAATGCAACCTTGGTGAGCCTAAGATATGTTTACTGACCCTGAAGTTTTGTAGTTTTAAAGTTTTTTATATATATATATATATCTCATTTAAAAGTTTGGGGTATATCTGGCATCAAATAGAAAAATAAAACTTAATCTTATGTAAGACAAGTTAAAAAAAAACAAAAAAAAAACACAAAATTCAGACAGAAACAGAAATAATTGCAAAAATATTTCAACGATTTTACTAATTACTAATTTTACTGTATTTTTGATCAAATAAATGCAACCTTGGTGAGCCTAAGATATGTTTACTGACCCTGAAGTTTTGTAGTTTTAAAGTTTTTTATATATATATATATATCTCATTTAAAAGTTTGGGGTATATCTGGCATAAAAAGGAAAAATAAAACAATCTTATGTAAGACAAGTAAAAAAAAAAAAAAAACACAAATTCAGACAGAAACAGAAATAAACAGAAAACAGGAAGTTCCAACTTTTCTGATCACATAAGTCAAATTTGACAGCATGGGAAAAGTGGTTAATATTTTATAACTGTGCAAATACATCTAAAGTGATGCAAGTATAGCAAAATCTCTATGGGACCGCCCAGCCCTACTGCAGTTGCCCTCGTGAAATGCCAACCACTGTCTCAAATTAATTTCAATGCCATTTACAGATTCAATGTCAAAAAGCTGAATTTTTTTTTACTCCCTTTTTGGATCTGATCAAGAACTTTCAATTCTTTAGTATGGCAGCCAGTGATTGGGAGTCTGCTAATATCGTACAGCATCAACGCGAGCATCTTCCATGCTCTCAATCGGGCAGTCTAATGACTCTGTGAATGAAAAGAGAACCTGTGCTTGAAACAGAAGTGCCTGCTGTGGGTCCAGCTGTCCGAATGAAGCAGATAAACCATGTCAAAGACACAATGACCTCACCACTTTCAACAACTAAGACTAGCTATTTATTTACCTCACGTCCACACATACACGCACACACATACGTACAGTACTGATATGAAGATTGGCCACAGACATGTCTTAACTTCATATTCATAAACACTGCCATGCTTCGATATGCGTCTGATTCACGAGGATTGTGCAAGAAAGCATGGCATCGGGCTGTAGTTTCGAGGATGATTTGAATACGTACGCCGTTGAGGATTGTAGAGCATTTCCCTCAAGACTACAACCTGTTTTTGTTGACGATAAACATCTGAGAATAAAAGGCAGCGAAAAACCGAAAACAAATCCAGTCGATTTGCTCACGAATGGCGTCAAACCGTGTCAGGATGCTTCAAGATTGTCCTCTTTTCTTAATCGACTTTGTTCAGCAATGACGATCTGGCCGTTAGAAGATGAAACCGACAATTTACATTCGCAAACACGTCTCAACACACAGAACAAAGAGATAAAGTTTCCTCTTAAATAGGTTTCATATACACATATCTGCATTTATATATGGATAATCGATTCATACATTCATTCTCTAACACTATTCATATTCACATATAATCTTAATCGTATATGAAATATTTCTTTTAAATTATCTCATAATGTATACTACGGGGTAAGACTGGGATCTCTGAAGGAATCGCTGGACATTTGGACCAGATGCTTTATACACAGGAGAACAAATCACTTTTGAGGGCGGGAGGGTCGGATACTGCAGATATACACCAATTTACATTGTTTCAAGTCAACGTACAACATCAATAGAGCTATTTACAAAGAAATAACAGAGAAATGATGGTATGGAGGTCATGAGATGGCGAACGAGTACCACTGATGGCAATGAGGAGCTTCTAGCCGGTTTTGAAGTTTTAAAATCACTCTACATGAAGTTTTAGGATCTGTTCACACCCTGCGGTCAGTCTGGGTTAAGATAAATTCTCACAAGCTGTGCTTGCCTACCTGCCGGTCTGTAAACATCCAGGGAAAATATTCCTTCCTGTAAACATTTGTTTCATTTTGTACTTTATTTTCTGTCTGGAGGGAGCCAACTGCTTGAGTCTAAAACCCATGTGTGTTTAATCTGGAGAAGAACTTCCTGAGTGCCACTGAAGACACGGCTAAAGACTGGAGAAGAACAATTTTGATGTTTGAAGCTCAACGCTCTCACTCTTGACTGCGTCGCAGATGAAATATGTGCATGTACAAAGGAAGAACAGATATGGACGCGGAGGAAACCAGATTTTGAGCCTGTAGAAAAAGGTCGCACCAGAGTTGAACGAAAAAAGTTTAACAAACTCATCAGGGAGATAAACGTCATGGTGCAGGGGAGGAAAGCGGAGTATGTCAAATCAAATGAGCGATGATGATGAGGATGACGAGAACTGATGGACAACAGTGGCAGGGAAAGAACATAAAACGTAAGATGTGAACTGAAGTGACGGAATGATGAAGAACTGATTAAAGAGGGAAATGGACCATAAATGAGGGTGGAGGACAGGACAAAGGAGAGCAGGAGGGATTCATGGTTAAAGGCAGAAGACTACAGCGGCTGGCGTCATCTTCAGCACAGCAGGAATTATCTGTACGGTCTAGAGGTCGATGAGCTGGTCCACCAGCAGCAGGGAACGGGCCAGGTTGGGCAGGCTGGACTCAGAGCTGCCACTGTTACTGCGAGAGTGACCTCCTAGAAGAGGCCAGATGGACAGGAAGGTTAGGGGAGGAGGAAAGGGAGGACAGCCAGATTAAGACAAGGCCGAGGAAGGGGACAGCAGAAGAGAGAGGGAGAGAGATAGTAAACATTCACGAAAAGTCAAGAGACTCTTACGAGAGATCATGCATAGGGTTGGGAATCAATTATTAGGAGAATCTCAGTGATTTGTACACCATTACTGAATCTACAAGTTAGGGCAAAAAAAACATAAGCTCTTCTCAGTGTTGTTACTGCTAATTAAAAATTTTTTTTCGGTAGTTGAAATAAAGCTGATGATAAAATGAAATAAATAATAGGGAAAAAATTTAAAATTAGTTGCCTTAGGAACTAAATGAAAGAAATACGTTTAAGTACTAAAATTACTAAAAACAAAATAAGTTAATTAAAAAATATATATTTAAAAAACTAATAAGAATGACAAAAGCACATAATAAAATTATTAAAACTTGAAATTAAAATGAAAACTGAAAATATAAAAATTTTATTCAAAGAAGCTAATTCAAAATATTACTAAGTACTATAATAGTGCAAAAAAAGAACTAAAATAACAATGACTTGTCTGAATTAATACAGCAAAATAATTAAAAGAACACATGTTCCTTTTGCAGTCCCCTCACTGGTTATATGCAGCAACTTATATTATATATGTGTGCGTGTGTGTGTAGCATCCAGTGCAATCTGATTTGAGAAAGAATGACTCTGTGAAATATGAACCACACTCTCAAGTACTTTTGTCATGTCCAACTCAAAATAAATTGAGAACTAGTACCTGTATTACTGTAATACTGATTTACTGTATTATAGGGCCTAAATAAGCAAATTACAGATTGACAATGTATACTTTTCTTCAATAAATGGTATTAAATAAAAACAATG